TATATATATATATATATATATAATATATATATATACATATATATATACATATATATCACATAGACACCCACGCACAAGGTCTACCTAGTCCGACCCTCATCCCTAAATTTACAGCGCGTAGGATGTGTGATATAAAACTTAATCTCTCGCCTTGTAGGATTAGAAGGATTTTAATCTCCCGACAATTTATCACTGGGGTTAAGGAAGGCGCTAAGCTCAGCCTCCTGTTGAGGAATGTTATATGGAAAGGAATTCTGGTCGACTTTGTTCTGCGATGAGAGAACTTTTAGGATTTTTTTTGCCTAGGAAGGGGTTTGGGGTGGGGTGGGGGGTGGGGGGTGGAGGCAGACCCGGTGTTGGTTTCTTCTGTGTCTGTGTGTGTTTGTCTGTGTGTTTGTCTGTGTTTGTCTGTGTGTTTGTCTGTGTGTTTGTCTGTGTGTTTGTCTGTGTAACTGTCTGTGTGTTTGTCTGTGTAACTGTCTGTGTAACTGTCTGTGTGTTTGTCTGTGTAACTGTCTGTGTGTTTGTCTGTGCAACTGTCTGTCTATCTGTCTGTTGGTTGTTCTGTTTCTGTCTGTCTATCTGTCTGTTTGATGCTTTTTATTATCTATGTTTGCTTATCTGTTTTTTGTTGTTTTTCGTCTCTCTGGGTTTTTGTCTTTCTACTTAAGTGTCTAGCTACTTGTCTATTTATCTTTCTATCCTTCTATATATTCACTTTTCTACCTCTATATTTTTTGCCTTTCTGTCCTTTTGTCTTTCTATAAATATATTTATATATCAGTCTACCTGTAAATATATCTATCTTTCTTTCCGTCTGTGCATCTCTATCTATCTATCTATTCTATCTGTCTATCTATCTTATCTATCTATTTATTTATCGTATCTAATATATCTATCTTCTATTATCTATATCTATATATATCTTATATATATATTATCTATCTATTATCTATATCTAAAATCATTAGAATTAAGAAAATGATAATAAAGAGAGTGATAATGATAATATTGAAAATAATGATAACGATAATGACATGATTATTAATTGTTAATGAAAGGCATAAAAGTTTTTTTTTTCGACAGAAAAAAAAAGAACAAAATCATAAAAAGAATAAATAAAAAAATCATAAATATACTTTCTAAAAATCATTAGAAATAAAGAATATTAATCACAAAAGTTAAAAGAATAAGAATAAAATCCTAAAAAGTAAAAAAATAATAATAATAATAGAATAATAATAAAATAGAATGATATATGAAAATAAATATAAAATAAAAAATAAATAGAATAATAAATAAAATAAAAATAAAGAATAAAATTAAAAACAAAAAAATAAAGAATAAAAGTTATTGTCTAACCCTTACCCCTTCACCTCCCTCCCCCCCGTCCCACCGCTTCACCCGCCCTCCCGTTCACCCCACCAGGCCTCGGGGATCGCTCGAACCTCGCCCTCTCAAGGAACCCGATGCTCCACTTCCACGAGGACGTCTTCGGAGATCTTCTGAGGAACATCACCGTCTCGGACATCCCGGAGAAGACGGGGCTCGCTTTTTTTAGTTGAGTTTGAGGGGAGAGGGGAAGGGGGGAGGGAGAGGGAGGAAGGGAGGGAGTGGAGAGGGAAGGAGGAGGAGAGGGGAGGAGAGGGGGAGATGGAAGGGAGGGTGGTGGGAGGGAGGGGGAGGGAGAGGTGGGAGAGAGAGGGAGGAGGGAGGTGGGAGAGAGAGAGAGAGGGAGGGTGGTGGGAGAGGGAAGGAGGTGGGAGAGGAACGGGGGGAGGGAGAGAGGGAAGAAAGAAAGGGAGGGAGGTGGGAGAGAGAGAGGGAGCGTGGTGGGAGAGGGGAAGGAGGTGGAGAGGGAAGGGGGAGGGAGGGGAGAGAGGAAGGGAGGGAGGTGGAAGAGGGAAGAAGAAAAGGAGGGAGGGAGGTGGGAGAGAAGAGAGAAGGAGGGTGGTGAGAGAGGAAGGGAGGGAAAGGGAAGGAAGAGGGGAGAGAGGACGAGGGAGGGAGTGGGGAGAGAGGAAGGGAGGTAGGAGAGAGAGAGAGGGGGGAAGAGGAAGGAGAGGGGAGGAGAGAAGGAGAGGGAAGGCAGGTGGAGAGTGGAAGGGAAGGAGAAAATCAAGGAGGGAGTGTGGGAAAGGATACCCCCCTCAACCTTTATATAACCCCCCCCTCCCCAATACCCCTCCCCCTTTCCATAACCTCCCCTAACCCCCCTCCCTCCCCCCTTTCCAGACAACTTCATCCAATGCGACTGCGACTTCCTGTGGCTCGCCAAGGACAGGTGGCTCAACGTCCATGTGTACGGCGGGTTCTGTGCACCGAGAAGCGACGACTGGAAAAAGTGGGTGAGTCTCCACAGCGTCGACGTGGAGGAACTCGAGAAGAACTGTTCTTCGCTGAACACTCCTGAGCCTCCTGGTCCTCTGGGGGGGGCGTGAAGGACGTGGGGATTAAAGGGAAGGAAGGATATTAATGGATAAGGATGTTGTTGTTGTTGTTGTTGTTTTTTTTGTAGGATTTGAGGATATTTGAGAATTAAAAAGGGAATTGAGAAGAACTGTTCTTCGCTGAACACTCCTGAGAGCTTCCTGGTCCTCTGGGGGGCGTGAAGGACTTTGGGGAATAAAGGGAGGAAGGATATTAATGGATAAGGATGGGTTTTTTTTTGTAGGATTTGAGGAAATTGGAGAATTAAAAAAAGGGAATTTGAGAAGAACTGTTCTTTCGCTGGAACACCCGAGAGCTTCCTGGTTCTTTGAGGGCGTAAGGAATTTTAGAGAAATTAAAAAGTAAGAAAATTAATAAACAGTGATATTTTATGTAGGATTTGGGGAAATTTACGAATAAAAAAGATAGAAGGATAAAAAAAAAAAAAAAAAAAAAAAAAATGGTCATTTGAGGGTGTGAGGGATTTTTTTTTTTAATAAAAGACAATTTTAAAAGTTAAAAGAATTAAAAAATGGCATTCCTTTAGGACGAGAAAATCAAAGAATGAAAAAGAAGACATAAGAATGTGAAGGACTAAAAAATGATAATAGGTAAATAAATAAAATAGATTACGAGATATATAAATATTACACTTTGAAGATCTTTTAAAAGAATTATTTCAAAGTAATATTTTCGTAACGTTCTTAAGTCCCTGAGAAATTTAATCAAGGAAATAAAAATAATTGAAAAAGATCATGATATTTCTAAATTACCTTTTCAATTATATTCTGAAGGACGAAGACAGAATAATGAGAGAATACGAATTTCTGAAGAGTTTAAGGAAAACCTAAAAAAGATTTTAATAAATGAATGAAATGAAAATAATATATTTCAGAAGAATCTAAGAATATAAATCTAAAACAAACAAAAGATAAAAAAAAAAACATTTTTTCTCTTTTTCTTTTTCTTTAACTTAGAAACTTAAACATATATATATACATACGTAGTGATTCATAATAATTAAACCCCAATGGAAATACTTTCTGTTTTATCCATTAATTACAGCAATAAACAGCAACATTTTCCATGAATTCTGTTTAATAATAATATTTGAGATATAAAATTAGATCATGTATATTCACGATACCGTATATATACAGATACGCACACATAATCACACAGACACACACACACAACAGATCCACAAAATGCACCACACCACACAAAAATACCAAACACCATAAAAAGACACAAACACATAAAAAGACACAAATACACAAAAAATGACACACAAACAACATAAAAAAGACACATAAACAGCATAAAAGAACACAAAATATAAAAAGATCACAAAAAACATAAAAAAAAACAGAACAACATAGAAAAAAACAACATAAAAAACACAAAACAACATAAAAGACACAAACAAACCAAAAGATACAAATAACATAAAAAGACAATAAACAACATAAAAGAACACATAAACAGCATAAAAGACACACGTATAGCAACCCACGCACATATACTCCAAAAACATATGAAAACCTACCCAATGTTCCCTAAAAGGCATAATATAATCAATATTCATAATAGGTATCTTTGCAGCTCAACACCCTCTCTTACCCAACCCCCCCACCAACCCCCCCCCTCCTTCCCCAAGCCCCACCCTCCCAACCCCAAACCTCCAACCCCACCCTTCCCAACCCCATCCCCAAGCCCACCCTCCCAACCCCCACCCCCTTCCCCTTCCCAACCCATCCAACCCTCACCCTTCCCCCCCACCCCTCACCCTTCCCCCCAACCCTTCACCCTTCCCAATCCTCACCCTACCCCTCCCCAACCCTTCCCCACCCTTCCCTCCCAACCCCCACCCCCCCATCCCCTCCCCAACCCCCCACCCTCCCCATCCCAACACCAAACCCCCACCCTTCCCACCCCTCACCCTTCCCCAACCCTTCCTCAACCCATCCCTTCCCCCTCCCCTCCCCATCCCCATCCCCCATCCCCTCCCCATCCCTCCCACCCCTTCCCCAACCCCCCAACCCTACCCCAACCCCCACCCACTCACTTCCCACCATCCCCCTCCCCCTTCCCCCATAGCTCCCACAGCCACTGACAGCTGATAAAGTACCGCGATATTTGTCATATAAGAGCCACTTTATCTGAAACCGAAAGCTTTTTCGCATCAAAGAAAAGACGAGAACCCAATGTGGTGGAACAAGAGATATCCGAGGGTTCACAAAGGCTTTTTTTTTTTTTTTTTTTTTTTTAATTCCAAACAGAACGATAATGGAACGACCAAAAAAAATTCTCAAAGGCTTTTTTTCTTTTTCTTTTAATTCCAAACAGAACGATAATGGAACGACCAAAAAAAAAAATTCTCAAAGGCTTTTTTTTCTTTTTTTTTTCTTTTTTTTTTAATTCCAAACAGAACGATAATGGAACGACCAAAAAAAAAAAATCTCAAAGGCTTTTTTTTTTCTTTTTCTTTTTTTTAATTCCAAACAGAACGATAATGGAACGACCAAAAAAAATTCTCAAAGGCTTTTTTTTTTTTTCTTTTTTTTTAATTCCAAACAGAACGATAATGGAACGACAAAAAAAATTCTCAAAGGCTTTTTTTTTCTTTTTTTTTCTTTTTTTTTAATTCCAAACAGAACGATAATGGAACGACCAAAAAAATTCTCAAAGGCTTTTTTTTTTTTTTTTTTTTTTTTTTTCCAAACAGAACGATAATGGAACGACCAAAAAAAATTCTCAAGGCTTTTTTTTTTTTTTTTTCTTTTTTTTAATTCCAAACAGAACGATAATGGAACGACCAAAAAAAAATTCTCAAAGGCTTTTTTTTTTTTTTTTTTCTTTTTTTAATTCCAAACAGAACGATAATGGAACGACCAAAAAAAAATTCTCAAAGGCTTTTTTTTTCTTTCTTTCTTTTTTTTAATTCCAAACAGAACGATAATGGAACGACCAAAAAAATTCTCAAAGGCTTTTTTTTTTTTTTTTTTCTTTTTTTTAATTCCAAACAGAACGATAATGGAACGACCAAAAAAAATTCTCAAAGGCTTTTTTTTTTTTTTTTTTTCTTTTTTTTAATTCCAAACAGAACGATATGGAACGACAAAAAAAATTCTCAAAGGCTTTTTTTTTTTTTTTTTTTTTTTTTTTTTTTAATTCCAAACAGAACGATAATGGAACGACCAAAAAAAAATTCTCAAAGGCTTTTTTTTTTCTTTTTTTTTTTTTTTTTAATTCCAAACAGAACGATAATGGAACGACCAAAAAAAATTCTCAAAGGCTTTTTTTCTTTTTTTTTTTTTTTTTTTTAATTCCAAACAGAACGATAATGGAACGACCAAAAAAAAAAAAAAAAAAAAAAAGATGATATATAGGAATTTGGAGGGAATTTATGGGTTGTTTTTGTGTTTGTTTGTTTTTCTTCTGTTTGTGTTTTTATTTTGGTTTTGTTTTCGTTTTTCTATTTATTTTCTTGTTTCTTTTGTATGCGAATCAAATGTTTTTTTATTGTTTGTTTGCTTTTTTTGTTAATTTAATTGCACTTTATAATGAATTTATACTTTTTTTTCTTTTCTTTTTTTTTTTTTTTTTTTTTTGTTAATTTCGTTGCATTTTTTTCGAGATTCAATTAATATTTAATAACTGAAATAACTGAAACATGAACCAGTAGATTGCATATATAAGTCCTTTGATAAAAAAAAAATAATATATTCAGGATTGTTAAATTCAATAATGATATAGATATTATTCACTGTATAAAAATAATCTTATGAGATCTTTATTGAGGAAATAAATGATGGATGAACTGAACAGAATAAAAACAAATAGTAATGTGTATATTTTTATATATATATTTCCGCGTGTGTATATTTCTTCTCTTATTCTCTATGTCGTTTTTTTAATCTATTTATAATCAGAAAATATTAAGCGAAACGTTTGATAAACACAAAAAAAAAAACAGAATCGAGATATGTTTTAAAAGATTTTTCTCTCTGTTAAGGATAAACATACGAAAAAATATATACACACAAAAATATATATAGTCTAACATAGAGAGAAGAAAAAAAATAAACATATATTAGTCTAACAGAGAGAGAGAAAGAATAAACATATATATTTCTAACAGAGAGAGAGAAGAATTAAACATATATATATAACAGAAGGAGAGAAAGAATTAAACATATATATATCAACAGAGAGAGAGAAAGAATTAAAAACATATAGTCTATATGTTAGCTAACAGAGAGAGAGAAAGAAATTAAACATATATATAGTCTAACAGAGAGAGAGAAGAATTAAAATATATAGTCTAACAGAGAGAGAGAAAGAATTAACATATATATAGTCTAACATATATATATAAGAATTAACATATAGCTAACAGAGAGAGAGAAAGAATTAAACATATATATTAGACATATATATAGTCTAACAGAGAGAGAAAGAAGAATTAAACATATATATAGTCTAAACAGAGAGAGAGAAAGAATTAAACATATATATAGTCTAACAGAGAGAGAGAAAGAATTAAACATATATATAGTCTACAGAGAGAGAATAAACATAATATATAGTCTAACAGAGAGAGAAAGAATTAACATATATATAGTCTATTAAACATATATAATAGTCTAACAGAGAGAGAAAGAAGAGACCATATATAGTCTAACAAGAGTCTAGAAATAAACTAACAGAGGGAGAGAAAGAATTAAACATATATATAGTCTAACAGAGAGAGAAAAAATAAACATATATTGAATTATGGAAGCCCATTTTATCATTCGTACAAAAGATTGTTTATGACCACGCGCCATTTTTTTTTTTCGAGATAGCGCCAAAATAAACAGATTTGCATACGTTTTCCTCCCAAACGCAGAAATATTGCAAGGATCAGATTTCTCGGTGTGGTGAATGGTAGATTTTTTTCTTTATATTTCCTTTTTTTTTGCCAAAACTTTTTACGATTTATTTATCTATTTTTCGATTTTTTATA